TTGAATAACCATTTTTAGTTTATTTTCATAAAAATGACTCTTAAGAATGAAAATGACCAAAAGAGATTTTATGAAATGATAGATATGCACTTTTGTCATATGTTTAACTAATCTAAACTTAGGTTCAGAGTTAAAGGTGTTTTAGGGATTAGATTTCAAATTAAAAAAAAAAAGAATTTAAAAAACAAACTATTTTGGTTATTTTATTTTTGAAGATTATTGTAATAAAAACTTAAAAATATTATTGGAGAGAACCACTCATATAAAAATAAAAAGAAATCCCAAAACTAGTTTTAACCCAAACCTAGTTGAACTTATCAATGACAAAAAAATCCCAAAACTAGTTTTAATCTAAATGAATCTTAATGTCAATTTGGTTCTATTTCTTTTAATGTGTGACTAAGTAGGATTATAAAATATTAGTAATAAATTTTCAAACGATAATTAATTTTCAACGAAATATTATAACCGCCTAATACTATACGAGTGATGAATCTCATGTTAAAACTAACAAGAATAAATACGAAACACTTTTGACTTCCTCAAGAATTTAACATCATAAATTTTGTTTTAGATCTACTTTTTTTTTTGTTTTTTGAACAACCGTTTTAGATCTATAACTCACTCTGATAATTATGTAAACAAGGCAAATTCATGATCTTCCTCCGAAATCCTAGTGATAACCTTCATAGTCATAGTCAGTGAAGCTTGACCAGTGCTTATTCAGCCATGTTTCTTCAGCAACCGTAATTCCAGCTTCAACCAGGGAACCATTTTGTCTTCTTCTTCAAGGTGGCGGCCCAAATCATTTTATGACTTTTTCAACAGTCTCAGCATCATAATTTTGTTTTGGGTCTATATTTTACTGTGTTAAAAAAAAATAATTAAAAAAAAAATCTATATTTCTTTTTCTTTTTTTTTTGTAACAAAAAGATCTATATTTCACTCTGACAATTGTGTAAACAAAGTAAATTCATGATCTTCCTCTAATCACCTAGTGATAACCTTCAGAGTCACCATAGTTAGTGAAGCTTGACCAGTACTTATTCAGCCATGTTTCTTCAGACGGCAACTTCAGCTTCAACCAAGGAACCTGGCGACTCATATTAATTATGTCTTTGCAGATTTTAGGAACCATGTGATGCTTAATATCCAACTGTTGATAATTGTATTGGACGACAAACATTAGTCACATATTTTTTTATATTTCTTCCCAGCAAGGAAAGCTAGGAATCTCGATGCATTTTCGTTTCCTCTACGGTATTTTGTTGAGCCAGAGTTTTGTGACTCCAGCAAAGACTTCACTCATAGTTTTGAATCGATGACGTTGAGTAAAATTTTATTATTGGTATTGAGAAAAACTAATGAGTTATTGGTAACAATATTCTAATAAAATTTTGAATTTTTGAGATTTCATATTATTAGTTTGTGGATTTTTAAACTGAAAGTAAATTTTATTGTTGTTGATTTCATTTTTAAATTTTGACAATTATTTTTTGAGAATTTATAATTTGAATGATGAGAAATTTTAATATACATTCAAATTATTGTAATTCAAAAAGTTAATTGTGGTTGATTTAGTAATTCTAACTAAATCTATATTTTTGGGAGATTAAATTATATACATACAGCTTTCAAAATATCGTGTATATCCAGTGGCAGATCTAGAAACTATTTGTATCTGGGGCTGAAACAAAATTACTAGATAAAAATATAAGAAAAAATTTGTCATGAAACCATAAAAATCCTTACATATTTATCCTTCCTACGTATTCTTATGGATTGAAACTTTTTCACCACTATTTCGTTTGTAATAGAATCAAACTGCTCTTTTTAAATATAACATACTAAACAATCACTTAAAAACTCGTCTCCAGTTCGGTTGCGTGTGGATGTCTTCACTAACTTCATTGCAGAAAACACATTTCAACACTTGCAGCAGAAACAAACAACGTTAATAACAACTTTAAGAGTCGATAAACTAAATGATGTACAAGATGTTTTTTTGGTTTCCACCATCAGACGAAAAAGATCCCTAAGAATCACACAATCAAACGTGTGAAGATACTTGAGAAGGCCATATGGTTGACATTTTTTTTGAGTCATCAGCACCTTCATCTTGAACACATTCAAGGATTTCAATGACTGGAGGAAACAAGTCAACCAATCGCAGCAAGGTTTTATAATGAGAACCCCAACGAGTATTTCCGGGTCCTGGAAGAGAAATCTCTTGATTTTGTCATGTTCTAGTGTTAATGTCACCACTGTCAATTCCTTCCTCCACCTCTTTCGATTCATATAAAGGAGCATATTTTTCTTCTTGTAAGAAGCCACTACCACATTCAGCAATGTCGAAACCATATAAAAAAAGTTACTAACTTCAAAATGCTTTTTCGCAACTGCCACTACAACTAGCTGAAGTTGATGAGCAAAACAATGGACATAGTATGTTGAACTATTTTCTCTAGCAACCAATGCTCTAAACCCATTAAACTGGCCCTTCATATTGCTTGATCCATCATAACCTTGTCCTCTCATTTTTTTCAGGCTCAATTCATATTTTGTAAATAAATCATCAATTGCTGATTTCAGAGATAAATAAGACGTTTCTTTTACATGAATAACTCCCACAAATCTTTCTTTGACTGATCCACTTTTGTCAACAAATCGGAAAACAACGGCCATTTTCTCTTTGTTAGAAACATCTGTAAACTCATCAACCATCAAATCGATCACTCCATGATTGATTTCTTCTATGGTAGATTTCAGTACTTCCTGAGCAAAACAGTGTACAATATCTTTCCGAATCACTTGAGAAACCATCTGATTATTTTTTGGAGCGTTCTCAAAAACAACCTTGCTTACAACATCATTTTGTTTTCTAGTGTTTCGAGAGCTCTACAAAATTTTCTTTATTAGCAGAATCTTTTCCTTCATCATGACCACGAAAAGGTATTCATTGTCGTAACAAATACATAGAAACATCAACTGAAGCATTTTACCGTATGCGGTATTCAGTTTTCACCACATCATCTTGCTTATAAAAAGCATGCACAATTGACTGAGCTTGATTACCCAAATCATCACATCTCTTAACAGAAATATTATGAAAGCTATTGATTCCACCTACGTGTTCAGATAACACATCAAGTTTTTTCCAACAAGAAAAACCTTTTGTCACAAATTATTCCCATCTTAATTTTGTATGACCAAGCAGCAACATAAACAAAATGCTTTATCTTTCGAGACGCTGTACTCTAGTCAATTACCAGACTATTTAAACCAAGCTGGATTAAATTTCCTCATTAAAAAGTATGACCATATGGTTGACATGGACCTCTAGTTAATTATTTCCTTCTTATCTCGTCTCTTTGATTAAAAAGATAGTGTAATATCTTTTTTCTCTCAGCTGGATTCCATGGCAAAACATCCAAATCATCAGAGTTATCCAAATTTCTTTTAGGAGCGGAAGCACTTGTTTTGTTATAATGTCGCTCTATTTATCTGCAAATCACTAAAAATAGTAAAACAATATAAAGTGAACTCCATTAAACCTTTCTAAACACAATTAATTCATTATATTGGCCACTAAATTTATTCACGTCAATCTCAAAATCATATAAATAATACTGGTTCGGGCTAAAATTATTCCACATTCACATCATAAGTCTCAACGTCAAAGCATATCAGATCACTTTGGAATAAAAAAAAACAATAAAAGAGAATTAAAAAAACATTTACATAGATATTATCTAATTAAATAAATTGAAAAGAAACTTACATAGGCATGTGATTTTGTGTGTGTGATTCGAATGCAAAAAAAAATTTACTGGATAAGAAGAAGTTGAAAAGAAGACGACGACTAGTCGACTACGTGAATGTGTTTTCTAACACAAAAATACCTAATGACTAAAAGTTATTCCCATCTGGAATTGGATTAGATCTAATAAAGCCCAATTTATTAACATATGGCTTTGACTTTGTAGATATATAAACATTAATAACTTGGGCCTTTGTTTTATATATTAAATCAGAACTTTTTAGTTATGGCAATTATTAAAATTATAGGGGGCATAAAATAATATAGCAACATGGGCATAACTTCATTTTTTTATAAAACTAAACTAGATTAATTATTTCCATGGTGGGCAACTGCGGCCTGCCCCCTTACAGCCTACGTACCTCTGCCAATGTGTATACGGTATCTACTCCAGCTCCATGGCAAACTATATGTCACAAAAAGAAATTGTAATATTTTATGCATTAATCTATAATTATATATAATTATATGTTCACTAGTGATATTTTCATGATTAAATAGAATCATAATAACCAAAAATTCTAATAAAACATAAAAATTTAATAAGTATTTAAATAATATTCATCTTATCATATTAATAATTATATTATTATCATCAGATTTTTTATTAAGAAAAATAAACATGCTTACAAAAATGTAAAAGGCTATATGAGAGGAAACTAATCTTGAAAACTTGAAAAAAAACAAATAATATTTTTTCTTTACAGAAACTACTGACAAAGAAAAAGAGTTAATTGTATACTCCATAAAAATCTGTAGCATTATATAAAGAGTAATTAGTGGCAGTGCACCCAAACCTCACAATATTGGCCTTACACCCTCATAAGGTTCGACCCAAATGCGTGGACCATTATACCCCTCTGAGCTATACCCACTACTTCCCGGATTCTATGTGGCATGACAAAAGACACCCCTCTACACATTTGTTAATGCAATGTCTTGAAGATTACCAATAAGAATACAAAACAATGTGAGTTATGTATCATCGTTTCGATTCAGACAAGCAAAGAATCATTTAATTTCAGTTCCGCAACCACCCCACTTTCCTTTTCCTATCATTTTTTGGCATTCATTCTCTTATAAAACCATATATCTCAACCTGTGATAACAATCAATTACCCTGGTTGTTCAACTCCAAAAATCCAACCTTTTTCATTTGATTTTTTCTTACCAGAAAAAAATGGAAGAAATTTTGCTTACTTGGAGGATGTTTGCCACCGGCGAAGAGCGTTTGGGTGAGAGAGTTAAATCATATCACAAAAACAAGAAAATCGAATTGATTATTGACGCGCTGGAGCTAGAGGAGTTAAAGTTCTTAAGGAAGTCGACTTGCTATGTAATATTTATGTTAGAATATATTTTACTTGTTACCCGATAATTCTTTTAGTGGATCTTCAGTTTAATGTCACTGTGTGAGATAAATGTTTTGTTATAAGTTACTATAAGATTGTCACTAAATGATAGTATTTGGTCAGATGTTACAAATAAGTGTCATTGGTGGATATATGGTTGGTTATATGGTACATAGTTTGTTAGTTGTTACATTTTTGTTTCAAACATAATATATTACCCGATATATTTTTTGTTACTTGATATTTGTCTTCGTAGTAGATACTTTGTTCCTTTATTATTCATGTTATTGACTCTTTTAACACGCAACAGATTTTGAAATATGACTTATTATCAGTTAAATAATGTGGTATATGTTACATACTTTTGTTAGTTGATACATAGCTCAATATGATATTTGATAAATAATTTAGTTATCTGATAAATTATTTTTTTACTAGATAATTTTTTTGCTAACTTATACATAGTTTATTAAAGAATTTGATAAATGGTTTGTATGGTATTGCAAAGTGATTCATAAAGAGACTGCTGTAAGTAGATCAAAAGATCGTTCAAAAACTTGTCGCTAATTAATCATGGTTTTGTGTAACTGCTAAATGATTTTATAATTTTTTATCAGCTTATAAATTATTTTAAAATTGGTTTGCTAACTGATAAATTGGTACATAGTTTGAGAGTCAATACGTTGTTGGTAAATTGGTTTATTATCTGATACATGAATTGTTATTAGACACATGTTTTGTTAGCATGTTCATAGTTTGATACCAAAGAATGAGTAAAAAAAATATTAAAAAATTAAGAAATTATGGTGAGGGCGAGATAAAGAAATGAAAAAGATCAACGAAGTTTTGGGACAAAAAAAAAGAATCGATGGTGGTTAAAATGCAAAATAGAGATGGGTAAATGCAAAGGAAATAAGAGTAGTTGATGGTGGTTGAAAATTCAAAATCGAGATTAGGGTCCATAAACTCATCCTGAACAAATTAGTTTTTAGCTAATATAATGTGTATTCGTTAAATTATAGAGTTATAAATGTTTAAGATAGACAATATTCGTCAATTATAGAGTTAACCACTAAAATATATTAAATATGTAACATAACATGTTAACTGCTATTTAATATCTTACATATCCCGATTTGATCTTCTATATATTTCTACAATACGTAGTCTTTTTTACCAGGCCAAGTTTCATAACCTCTATGATTGGTGTTTGTTTCTTTTTCTTCTTTTGAATCTTAATTTTCACTCACTCAATTTAAAAATAAAAATAAGTTTAATACACATTGTAAGATATCTTCGACAATGATTCACCATTGATAGAAATTTTGGTGAAGTTTACATGATCTATTTAACATTATTTATTTAAAATAATTGGAAATAGCGATTGGTAAAAAAAATATTTTTGGCAGATGTAATACACTTTTTTCTCAATAACAGAAGGATTATTAGGTGAAGCATCTCCTAGGTACAAACCTACTTATGCCAGTAGATATACTTCCTTCTCTCTTCTGCATGGGCAATATCGTCAAAAAATAGTCCAAAATCCATTAGGAATCAAGAAAGATATTTCCCTAGTTTGTGTTTCTAATAGGTATATTTATCAAATTGTCTCTTATAAATATATGGAAACTTATAAATCAGAATACATACATTAATCCAAATAACTATAAACTTTTAAAATCCTAAAACTCTACACAAATCACTTGTCATGTAATCCCCTCTAATCCTAGCTAGTGATAAAAATCAAAGAATTTGTTGTTCGTTTGTTATTTTCTTGATGCCTTAGTAGGATTCTTCTTAACAGATCCGAAAATATTATTTACAGAAAGGGTTTATAAAATATTTTTGGTTTATTTAGATGCATTCATCGTATTAAAATTACTTTTGTTACCGTTTTTTGAAACATATTAGGGAATTCCACACTTAGACAAATTTTCGCACATGAACTAGAGGTGTTATATATGTTGTTGATATATTTTCTGAATTTCAAGATTTTTATATTTTGAGAACACAAAATAGAATTTCAGATTTTTTAGTTAAGATTGCAAAATTCTTTTATCATGAGTTTTGTTATATTAATTGTTTTAATCTAGCATGGTTATCCAAACCACATTAAATTTGAATATTAAAATAGATGTTCCTTGTAAAAACAATATATATTACGGAAACTATATTGCGTCTCATCTATCGATTTATAATATCTATTTATTAGGCACCACCGCATAAAATCTTTAAATGAAAACTTCTATCTCCTATATATTAATTGAGAAACATTTGAAAAATTGTAATCTTAAATGTATTAATTAAAAAATAATCTCATTCTATGTGGCACTTCTCTATGTCTTCTATTTCAATTTAGAAGGATTCTAACACCACGAAGTGAAAAGATACAACATGAAATGTTCCCAGGCCCGAGTACCAATGCACGCCTCAACCACTTCCTCGACATTGGAGCTCCTCCGCTAAACTGTGTACGGACGGCGGCGTGAGCTAGATCTATTTCCTCTCCGGCGAATTTTTTCCTTTTTCTCAGAATTTCCATCCTTACTCACCGAAGTTTCACCGGTCCTAATCCTAAGAAGAAGCACCAAGACTTGAAAACAGCTAAAAATCAGATGAAACTCACATCTCAACACATGGCTTTCACCTTCTCATCTTAGGACGGCTTGAAGTGCTCGTCAGATCGTAGCGTTTAGCTCGGTTCTGATTAGCGTTTGTCCAGGCTATTTCCTCTAGAAGACTCTTGCTTGTTAACCCCTTTGCTACGTCCTAGCTCCTACAAAGGAAAATTCTCGGATCTAAAGGTTCCTTAAACTCTTTGGAAGATGTCTCAACAAAACAACAACTTACTACTCAACGAGAATAATACGCAACCTTTAGAAGAGGAAGATGACGACTTGGTCATTCTCCCGGACGTGGACAACTCTGAGCTTATTGCTCGGTTCAAACTAAGCCTAGTGGGCAGGCTTTTCAACAAAGAGAGAAGAAGTGTTGAAGCACTCATTGCCTTACTTCCTAGACCTAGTATTTGGGATTTTGAAGGCAGAGCCAGAGGTGTTGATTTGGGGAATCATCGTTTCTAGTTTGACTTCTACTTGGAAGCTGACCTCTTGAAGGTGTTAAGTAAACCCCCCTATCATTTTAATAAGTGGTCTTTCGCCCTTGAGTGATGGACTCCTCATTTTAACGCGTTACTGGTATCCCAACACACTACTGGCTCGAACCGATTTTCAGAGCCCTAGGAAAGGGACTCGGTCTGGTGGGAAACATGGAAGCGAAGGCAGCAAAATTTGAGCTGGAGCTAGATGCAGAGCTCCCTTTGAAAATTAAGCTCCGTGCCCAAATTCACTCGGTGAAATTGTTCCTGTCACACTTGAGTACTCAAACCTCCATCGCTGGTGCCACCATTGCCGTCTCCTATCTCATGAAGTCGAAACTTGTCCCCAGTTAACTGATAAACAAAAATCCCAATCCATGAAAGAAAAAGAAGTATCAAGAAACCAAGGTCTATACTCTAGAATGGAGGTCCACAAGGTCGGCGAAAACTCAAAGAGAGCGAATGTACCTGAGCTAAAGGCCCCTTTACGGCAAGAGAGGAGGTTGGGAGATCACTTTCAAAGAGAAAACAGGGACAGCGTGTGGAAACGCATTGACTCCCGTTATGCTCCTAGAGAGGATTAGCGAAGAGATTACCACAAAGCTCCACGCGAAACAGAGAAGCTGCCACACCAAAAAGAAATATACAACAAGAAAAGATATGAGGAATCTTTTGCTTCAAGTAAACAAAGAAAAGAGGAAAAAAATCCACGAGCAAAGTACTTCCCTTAAACAAAACCGCTGAAGGTGAGCACTCCTCCACAAGCTCTCGTGCAAAACAAACCGTCCAAACTCTGGCTCTTCAGAAACCTGCAACTGATAATCCCCACAAAGATGGAATCAGCAACTCTTCCCCAGAGCATGTAAGGGAAAGACCCTTTAGACTCAATCTAAAGACTAAATCCACAGAGGATAAAAAGCTAAAAGGTAAAGTGTCTGACTTGGAGAATGCATCTGACGAAGCAAGTTCTGCAAAGAGTCTAAAGTTCGATGAAGAGAAGACCTCTCCTTTAAACAAACAGCGAGTCACTCCTCTAAACCTCTCCCCTGCAAAAGAAAAGAAAAAGAGTTGGTATGAACAAACCTTAGAAGAAAAAAAAGAAGAGCCTTTGAATCAAGAGACTGTAAACTCATCTGCCCTCCTTTGAATAAAACGTTGGAGATTATAAATGATCCAGGTGCGGTAAAAATTTTAGAGGATGAAGATTGGATGGATAATGAGGCTAATTATGATGATGATGACCTGATGGATGAGGATGATTTGTTTCTTGAGGATATGGAGCAGGAGAAGGCGTAGATCTTGGCTGCGAATGAGGATGTGAAATCGTTGACGAACGCCCCTCCTTCTGTCTTGGGGGAAAGTAACAAAAAGATGGAGACCTCAAGCCCTCTGGCTCAATCGCACCACCCTTCAGACACTCACACATCTCATACGCCGTCATCTAGGTCGCGTCCCTCTCCTGCGAAGAAGAAACGTGGAACTCCAAGTCCAATTGCAACAGGCGTGTCTCTCAGACAGAGAAACCTGATGCTGGGCCGGGTTCCTTCAAAGCCTAAGGCAGCAAAGTCTGGGCCCAATTTGGAGCATGGTCTCCCTTTGGCCCATGTCACTTCTCCAAGTGATATTGAGAAAGCCGGAACTGTCTTGAAGAACAACAACAAATGGGAAATAATAAACCACTGAAAATCCCGGGATGAATACAATTGCTTGGAATTGTCAAGGGGCGGGAGCCAACTTGACCAAGGAACATCTTCATGAGCTCTTTCATTGTTTTCTACCTAAGTTTTTATTTCTTTCGGAGACTAAGAACAATCGGAACTTTTTGCAAGATGTGCAGTTTCTTTTGGTTATGATCATGTTTGTACTGTTGATCCAATTGGTAGAAGTGGTGGACTTGCACTCTTTTATATGGATGACCCCTCGGTTACTATTTTATATGCTGACGCACACATGATTGATATCGAGACTAGACTTGAAGGACACACAATTTTTATGACCTTTGTGTATGGTGACCCTGTTGTTAGACATCGGGACCTAGTTTGGGAACGATTGTCACGCATGAGTACCAATCGTGGGGGAGCGTGGTTCATGATTGGAGATTTTAATGAGATTACAGAAAATCATGAAAAGAGGGGAGGAAGGCGTCGTTTTGAAAACTCTTTTATCCCTTTCCGCACCATGTTGGAAAATTGTGGAATGCTCGACTTCCCATATAAAGGAAACTCATTCTCGTGGGTGGAAAAAAGACGATCCGGGAAAGTGAAATGCAAACTGGATAGAGCAGTGGCAAATGAAGAATAGCACGCCCTTTTTACACACTCAGTTGTAGAATTTTTACAATTATGGGGTTCAGACCATACATTAGTCCTAGCACGTATCCAATCCAATGTTCGACAAAGGAAGAATAAGAGCTTCAGATTTGATAAAAGATGGATAGGAAAACCAGGTTTCAAGGAAGCGATAATATCGG